GCTTTGACCTCTGACCTAGCATTCTCCTTACTGCAAATATTCACACCCCAGGAAAAATCTGCTGATATCCAGATGTCTTCCTGTCTGACCAACAGTGAGTGATATTCAGTACTGTTCATTTCAGTTCATTTATATTAAATTAAAATGGGGTTATTCATAAAGCCCCAATTATAAATGTCAAAACGCTTTGCAAACAACATTCAGTTTATGTTGAGCAGGGGTCTCAAATTCCAGTCCTGGAGGGCCGCTGTCCTGAGTACATACTGTTGAAATAAAATTGAAATGCCTTTTGTAAATACATTTTCTCTATCAATGACTAAATTAACTGTTTGTGTAATGTAGTAACCATGTAGTGTTTAATATAATTATTAAATAGATGTTTTAAAGAAACAGCCACAAACCTTATGCCTTTGATCCACAATAGCAGCTTTAATTTATAATTTCCTCTCCTCCACATACTTTGTTGCCAGATGTGTAAAATTTACAAAAAGAAGCAATTTAAATGTAAAAGTTGCACATATGTAGATTACTCAAGAAAAGGTATTAACAATAGTTTTTTTTACAGAACTCTACACAACATCAATTAATTTATTAATAGATACATATAGATATATTAACTACAGAATAGATACACAAAGATTTCATTTCTAACAGCTGCAGTATTGAGTGTTCATCCAAGAAGTGTGACTTGCAGGAGCAGGGAGGCTCTGTACTGGTTTCTCCTTTTAAATCAAGAGGCCCATGATAGTTTGACTAGGCAGCAGATGTCCCACAGCTGATTGACTGAACCTGCCATGGACAGAGGAACAAGACCATCCCAGATATGGTAGGCTAGGTAGGCTACTGTTGAGAAAGATGGACAACAAAACAAATGGAGAAATTATGAATCACATCAGAATAAGTAATTTATTTGGCAGATGGTGCTTAAATCAATATTTAAAATGCTTTCCCAAACAACAGTGTTGGAAGATGTAAGTGATTTTTGTGAAACTTTACAACAACAGCACTGAAAGGAAGCGGTGTTTATGTTTCCTAACTGTGGCTAAAGCTGCTGCTAGCTGGTTTACTCTCCGATCTGAGACTGTTTATTTTATACACAGTCAGAGAATGGTGAATTGACAATGAGTAATAACTTCTATCTAACACTTAAATGGTGTTGTTATTAACCTTACCTTTTGTTATACCCTTAAGATAATGAATATCCGTGAATTTTTCAGTCTGGTTTCCAGAGGCAAAATCACACCGGAAGTAAAGATACACCTCTTCGAGTTATAGCGGCCATTGTCTGACGTCACTGTGAAAAGGGTCTCTTGCTGCAGAGGATCACGTTACATTGCTTAGTCAATCAGAGCTGCGAGGAGCTCTGATTGAAGGAGCTCCACTCTCAGCATGGATTTGAACTTGTGTCTTTAATTCCTTCAGCAAAGCTCAGTTTTTACCTGATTCTGTAGCTTTTGGTGTACAGTGATCTCTCGCTATAACGTGGTTCACCTTTTTTTCACAGTGCAATTGTATTCTGTGTCCTGATTGGCTAAACAGTCTCCGAACTCCTTCTCTACCTGTATACCAATAACGTATTTAAATATAAGTAATACAGATTAGCCATTCAGGAGATGAAAGCTGAAAACTTTGAACGCTGGAAAAAAAACTTTCTGCTGGAACAATCTGTGGCCAGAGGCAGCGCAAAACCGATCGGAGGCTCGGTTGACGAGATCCATCGCTCTGCCGTAGATACAGCTGTGAATCTCGCGGGGCAGCTTGGA